ATCCCATGTGGGGGTATTATTATCCCCATTTTTAAAACAAGGGCTCAAGGAGGTTAAGCGACTTTCCCAAAGCCACATGGCTATTGAACAGGTGGCTGGGGAGTCATGCTCCCCCTAATTAACTGAATATTCCCGGACACCCTGTGACATAAAGGTAATCATCTCCACCTCACAAATGAAGAGACCAAGACATGAAGTTTCAGTGGGGTGTTTTTGAGCCCAAACTCGAGCTCAGGCTCAGGGCTCTTCCTGCCACAGCACAGGTCGGAACCCAAAGGAATTCAGGTCCAGGATTTCCCCTCCCCTCGTGTAATGGCTTCGGTTTCGCCGCCTGGCAGTGCAGGGGAGACGGAAGAGCCCATCCCTATCTCCACGGGAGTCGCACTCCCACATAGCCCAGACCTCCTCCTCTTCCTTCCCCACTGATCTCGGCTTTGCCCCCAGCGGGTCCCTGCCTCTGGGGAAGTGGCGGTGCAGGCAGGCAGCGGCCAGTGTGGGTACCGCCCTTCTCCAGGAGCAGGAGCGGCCAAGCCACCAGGGGGCGGCAACGAGGCGGCGAGGTGTCTGGACCCGGAAGCCTCATCGCAAGGAACAGGGGCATTCAGGGAGATGCAGCTGCTCCTTTACTTGGCAAACGGCAAATCCTAGAGCCTTCGCCTGGCTGGCAGGTGCCAGGCTCGCGTCGGGCCCGACTCCGCAGCTCCTTCCCTGTGCAACCTCAGGGGCGGCACTGAATCTGAGTGCTTACCCTCGCTTAGAAACAAGGATGCCACAGAAAGCAAATGCTTCCCACCAGACCAGCCATCTCCCAAGGCAAAGGCAGATGCCTAGGGCTCCCCTGCCCCTCTTGCTCAGCCTCTCTGTGGATCTTGGGCTGTTGCAGGGCCACAGGCTACCCACTGGGGGGGGGGGGGGGAGTCCTTGGAGACATGTCAATCACCCCGCTGGCCCAGAGCCAGCCCTTCCTTCCACCACTGATGCTGGTGATCACAGCACCCTCTCACCAGCCCTGACCTGGCAGCAGCAGGTCATTACAATGTCAGTCCACCTCCCTGGAGAACTCCTTTAAAAACTTGTTTTTCTTGTAAACCCTTCTAGGAAGTAATTCTAACAACAAAATACCATAGAGTTTTTATAAGCCCTTGTAATAACAAAATACCGCACCAACCAAAACATCCACCCACAGAAGCGTCGTGACTGTGGCCTCCTCGGTGCTCACTCCCTTCCACAGGCATCCGTTGGCCATGGTTTATGTGGGAAGGACAAGCCCAGGGTAGTCCCGGGATAGGAGTGGGACCCTTCCCTCAATGGCTTCACCACCATGCCATCCCCATCGCAGTAAGGCCCGAGGGTCTGTGATCTTCCCTCCCTCTGCCTTGGCTGACAGGGACACCACGGAAGGCACAGGAGAGAAAAGAAACCAGATCCTGTTGGCATCACTGAGCCACTTGGATCAGACCAACCCCAAAACTCACCCCACCTCTGGACTTTCCAGCTTCAGGAGCCAAAAACTTCCCTCCATTGTTTAAACCGGTCTGAACTGGTATTTCTGTTACCTCTGACTGTAAACATACCCCCTGGAGAGGGACAAGGTTCATTCACACGCCGGCGGTGCCCTGATGGGCAGCGACCGTGAACGTGCACTGTGAATGGGCATACACTCGTGGACAAAGATTTCTGAGAGATATCAAGTGAATCAGTCGTTGAAACCTATGTAAAGTTGGATTCTCATTTGTGTGGAAAAAAAGAGACTTGAGCATGCATAAACATTTTCTGGAAGGGTACCTAAGAGTGGGGTGTGTGTGTGTGTGTGTGTGTGTGTAATGACTAGTTTTAAAGTCGTGGGAGGTGATAGAAGTATAATCAATCCGAGGTGATAATTTTATTTTGGTAGTTATTAAACCATGCCTTTGAAGCCCCTGTGGAAATACGAGATGCAGAGCACAGGGAGAAAGCCGAGTGAAGAAATAATGGTCTCAGACCTTTGTGAGGACTGCTGTATTTTCCTCCTCCTCCACGGCCGGGCACTCTAAAATTGGTAACTTCACCGGGCCAATGTCCACTTAAATGTGGCCTTGACTTTTTTCTAAGTTAGCCCCCGGGCCTTATTCTACAGCACTGCGGGTTTTCCTGAGGAGACCCCAAAAGCACTCTGAGAATGGACATACCACTATCCTGCAGCCTCAGAGGAGGTCACAAAGAGCTACAACGGCACCAAAGGTAAACGGCTCTCTGGATTTAGGGAGTGCCCAGATGGATGAGAACTGCTGGAGGCCCAGCCGACCCTGGAAAGCCAGGCAGCCACCTCCTGAGGAACAGACACAAGCCTCTGGAAGCATCTTTACCAAGATCCATCATTTGGGATGAGACACCACAGTTTAGGGGCAGACAACCTACAAGCCCTGGTGGCCCTGTGGACAGACACCATGCGGGACCCTAGAGCTGGAAACGCCCACTGGGGAAGGTCACACAGCCACGCCATTCATGTGGTCTAACTGAAGGCCCTGCACTTCCAGGTGACAGGGCCAAGCACTTGGTGCCTGGGCAGGACCTTCCTAGGACAGGAGGATGCCTTGGGTGCTGGGACCGCTGCAATGGCACCTCCCCTCTCTCCGCCTCTGCAGTCCCTGCTCTGAGGCTGCTGACCAAGAGCGAGCAGGTGGCCCCCGGCTACCGAGACTGACGCCTTCCCTTCTTTGCTTGCCTCTGACCCCACCTCCTCTTCTGGGGAGCTCTCTGCCTGGGGTCCCTACATGCAAAGGCCTACACTCATGTATGCCCATCGCCACTCCAGCAGTAGCCCCCACATTGCGTCCCTTGGAGAGAAGGCCATTTCCGATTCCTCACTACCCAGCATAGAAGTCCTTTGTGGGCTTGCTGGGTGGATGGCAGCGCTGGTCTTGCAGAGAAGTGAGCCTGCTGCCCAAAGCCAAGGCCTCAGGTGCAGGGTGGGGCTGAGCACCTGGAAAAGCTATGCCTTGAATAAGGCTGAGCACCATATTCTCCCAAATCCAGGCACAGAGGCGGAAGCGAGCACTCCACTGCCTTCCCCAAATGCCTGCCGACCTATGACAGAGCCCCGTTAGCTGGACAATCTTCAGGAAGCAGCTTCTTCCCGGTCTTGCCCTTGGTGTGGCTTTGTTCATCAGGAGCCAGACCATTCAGAAGTCAGGCGGACAGACACCAAGCCTATTTAATAGGAACAGGTTCTATGGGCCAGGCTTCTAGAGTTTGAGTCCAGATCTTCCAGATCCTCCAAAGGAACTCCCGTCTCAGAGTCTCACATTTTGAGCACAAAAATGGCTGTTCTGGTGACGGAATGAGGTTTTTAACTGTTAGGTACCCAGAGCACTTCCTGTGTTCCAGGATCCATTTGTTTTTGCTATTCATGTGGGGAAACAGGGCACAGCTTCCGCTCAGCCCCCAGCCCTGCCCCTTTGGGCAGCGGGAACGCCGGGAGACTGGTGAGCTGGGCAGTGGCAGGCGAGGCTGGCTGCAGGTGTGACAAGGATGGGCAGGACAGGGTCGGAGACCTGGCTAGCCTGGGCCACAGGATGCTGAGGAGGGGCGGGTCCGGAATGCCAGGCGCTAGAGGCCAACGGAGTTTGGTGCCGAGGTGAGCAGCTTTCAGTCGAGGAGGGGAGCGGTGGGCTACGGCCGGGAGGGGCATCAAGAGCCCAGACAATAAGCCTCCCCGGGAAGGAAGGGAAGAAAGGTGAGGGGGCCAAGGCAAGCTTTCTGAGATGGGGGAACATGGTGGTGTGAGGGAGAGGAGGTGGGAAAAAAAAAATAACACAGCAAAGTCCTGCAAGGATGTGAGCGGGGGCGGGGGGCACAGGAAGGCCAAGGAAAGACCGGGAAACATTAAAGTTTCCATAAAGAGAGTATATGCGGGCAAAGAGGGGAAGTGCAGAGGTCACGCTGGCCTCTACCCACTGTGGGAGGGCAGGGAGTGAGCAGGCTGCGTGGGGAACGACCAGTAGGCTGCACCGCGGCTTCATGCAGAAGCCAGTTCATTGGAGACTCTCACCCATGTACCACTTCCTCGGGCTTCCCTTCTATTCTCTCATCCAGCCACCCAGAGTCCGAGGAGGTGGCTGGAATGGCCAAGGATTTCTGTCAACTAACTGACAACCAAACTGAACTCTGAAAAGTCGTAGCTGGACTTCACCCTGAACCGGGCTGTGACCTGTAAAGAGATTCTCAAGGGGTCCAGCCACCAGGTCGACCTGGTTAGATAGGATGGCAGGAGCTGTAACTCTTCGTGTCCACACACCAGCAGCAAGGGTCTGGTGTCACCATCTCCCCCGGGGCAGAAGGGGTCAGAGGTACATGGCAAGGTAGGCACTGCCGCTAACCCTTCACAGATGGGCCAGCGGGTCCAGGACAGCAGTGCTCAGATTCCGACTCAGTGTCCCCAAGCTCTTTTGCCTGGATCATACCGCCCGGGGCTGCACAGAGAGAGCCTAATGCTTTTCCTCCTGGCCCACAGAGTCACGACTCTGCCTCGTGCTTCTAGCCGGCCGCAACCAAGCCACAAGCCAGCTCATTCCGGTTGTAACCTCCATAAAGGATAATTGAAAGTGGCATACAGAATCCAAAGCATCACGGAGCACCGGGGGGTGCTCAGTCAGTTAAGTGTCTGACTCTTGATTTCAGCACGGGTCATGATCTCTCGGTTTGTGAGATTGAGCCCCACATGGGCTCAGCGCAGAGCGTGAAGCCTGCTTGGGATTCTCTTTCTCTCTCTCCCTCCCCCTTCCTCAAGTGTGCTCTTCTCATGCTCACAAAATAAACAAACTTTAAAAAAAAAAATCAATCGATGCAAAGTTATTTCAGATGGCACCAACCATAACTGGCTCTACCATCCACGGTCCTGTCGTACCAGCCATGCCACCCTCCCACCCCCAACCCCGGTTCCCTTGGCGGCCGAGCTTACCACAGAGATACTTAAGGCCGTCACGACATCGCTCAAGACACAAACAGCCAGGACAACAGCATTAATACAAAGATATATTCCATAAAAGAGTTTGGCAGTCAAAGAAAAGCATTACACTTCCTGAAAACACAAGCATCCTTCTTCCTCTAGTCTACAGAGAAAACCGTAAAAACAAAAAACAAACAAAAAAAATCGTATCATCATCAACAAACACCCGCCAGGATACACCACACGAGCATGTACACTTCCGCGAGTAAGTGAAGGTGGCACTCAATCCCTGAACGACGAGGACAGAACTGGTACGAGATCCAGAGAAGCATTAGAAAGTAGCCCAGAGCCGCACAAACGCCCCAGCTATGTCTGGGAAGGGGGTGGGGGGGCACATCAGTACATCAGACAGACTTCATTTCCAAGAGCAAGCCCCAGGATAGCCCTGCCAGGAAGGGTGGACACAGTCACCACAGATATCTGGTTTGTGGACAGTGGTGTGGGGAGGTCATCATAAAAGTTAGCAGGGGGAAGGGGGGGACCATCCCGAGCTTCTATACAGCTGCGGGCTGGGGCACGGGAGCCCGGCTAGTTTCACTCCAGGTTGGGGGGCAGAGGCAAATGCCAGGCTGGCCAGTGGCCCTGACCGCGTGGCCTCGAGAGCTGCCCTGGTCAAAGGTCCCGGGCCGGCTCTCTCTGGCTGGGGCTCCTTGGCCTGGCGGCAGGGAGGGGGGTCAGGATTCAAGTTCCGGACGACGGTTTCAGTAGCACCAAGACCAGAAGACAAGTGAGGCCAAGCGGGAGAGGGGAGTGGGTGTGTGGGTGGTGGGGGGGGGGGGGCGCGGAGGAAGGGGGAACATGTGTGTGCACCTGGGTCAGTAGGGATGAAAAGGAGAAGCGGATGGCATTGGTTCTTGAGACACTCAAAGGAACTGAAAGGGATGGCTTCAGTCGCAGACGCCGCGTAAGGCTGCTTCGAGGGAATGCCAGAGGAAATGAAGAAATGGTGTGAGAACATTCTTAACCCTATAAATAAACTATTTACACATTTGAAGAAAAGAAGAGCCGACTCTCCGAGGAGAATGCTGCCCATGCCCCGTGCCCTCTGGGCATAATGCTGTCGAGATTCGGGGCGGCTCCCGCTCTGGAAGGGGCGGCAGAGGAGGCCCTCCGTGGCACCGGTCCACACATGGCTCAGGCTTACTTGAACGTGGCTGAGGATCCTGCACACATCCCCGAGTCGTGCAGACACTGCAGGCTCCCCTGGCACGGTCCACATGTGTTCCTCCCCTCCCCGGTCACAGGCAGCATCCTTCTGCCACCATGAGAGGCCTTGTCCGTGTCTCCGGGTCCCCCCGCCATGTCCCACTCACAGCAGGTGGCAGCCCTCCCGGCCAGCACCGATGACACGAGCGGGGAGGCCAGGGTGCCCCACAGGAGGCACCAGGAGAACTGAGTCAGGCGCTTTTCACAGCCACAGGAGCTTCCGTCCACCAGAGTCACCACCCCCGCTTCAAACATGTTCTCCGTCTCTGGGTAGACCCCAAGTGTCGGGGTGGTGGGGGAGGGTGTCTCGGTCACAGGTTAGTGCAGTTTAGAGGGGGGCCCCTCGGTCTCCAGCACCAGCAAACAGAAGCAGAGAGGTCATGTCACGCTGACGCGGAAGACAGGTGCCGGTTGTGGCTGGGCGCGTCCACGTCTTCCCTCCGGACATCGAGTTGACAACAGTGAAGGGCTCTGACCTCCACAGCGTGGCTCAGCTCTGCTCGCTCACCTCTGGCCCTCAGAAGTGATGGCCCTCCTTCACTGCCTCAATGTCCGAGATCAGGGTCTTCGCCAGGAAGATGCCAAATATCTGAAAGCAAAGCCAGCAGAGGCTGTCAGCGTGGGGTCCCGACGGGAGCAGGTGGGCGCAGAGGGCAAGGTGGCCAGAGGACCCTGCACTGCACACCAGTCCCACACCCACGATGTGGACACTCAGGACGCAGCAGAGAGAGAAACAAGTGGACTTGTGGCAAAATGAGACCAACCCACTGGTAAGAAGTAAGCCCTGGGGTCTGTCTCGCTATATCCCGAGGGGCCAGAAGGGGCCAACGGCAGGCACCACACGCACCACAGGCACGAAGCAAAACGTACCCTTCACCCTGCCTCCCATGTGACCATGCACGTCACATCCCATAAGCTGGGACACACTCTGTACCCGACGCTAAACCTAAAATAACAGAGCCACCTGACTGGACTGGATTCAAAACAATAAATCTTGATGTTTCCTGCAAAGCTGGATTTCATAATAAAAACAAGGTTCTCCCTGATTTTTAGCTGTGCTGATATCTGACCTTGGCGACCAGCACAGTCATGTGGGAAGACTGTTTTTCTACCGGGAACAGGCGAATGTGAACTCAAAGACCATCAGAAGGTTGCTCTTTATTTCCCCTTACATTCTTGCTGTGGTTTGGAGTGGATGAGCCAGTCTTTCAGAGGTCTGACTTCTTTGCCTGTTTTGCAAGTAAATTTGGTCTTTCCTCTTCTGGATGCTTCTGTCTCTAGGCTTCCCTTTGAGATCACTCAAAACACGTTCGTGGAATGAAGGAGGAAGGAGTGTGTGGATGGCTGGTGGCCCCCTGGCCACTTCGGTCACCCTCTTCATGGCAATGTCAGGGCCAAACATTTTCTAAGCAATGCACTTTCCCCACAGGAGCAGTCGCCATCCCGGAGGCTGCCTGGGGGCTGCCAGCATCTCCTCTCAAGCCCTGGGCACCCCGGGGAACTCCTGGTTTCCCCGATGCGCTGAGTTCTTGGCTTTCCCCCACCCATTCTCCTGGCAGCCCCCAGCCACCCTACTCCCTGCCCGGCCACCAAAGTCTTTCCAGGCCTAAAATCTGGTTCAATGGAACAGGCACAGCCCACAAGGACAAAGGAAACCGCAAAGGGCAGGGGGGACACACCTGTAGCAGGGAGATGGCGATGAAGACGCCGGCCACAATGTAAATATTGCGCGGAAGCCAGCCCTCCAGCGCCTGGATGCATCCTTTCGTGAAGATGGACTCGTCCCACTTGCTCTTCAGCTGCAGAGAAACACCAGTGACCTGAGCCCAGCACACGCCAGACGTCCCCGCCCCGGCCCCCCAGAGGCCTCCCGTGGCAGGCAGGGCAAAGCTCGGTGGGAGCCAGGGTGCTGGAAGGTGGGTGCCAAGGACGAGTGGAACCCTCCGGGAGAAACGCACCAGCCCGCCTCTGTCTCTGCCCCCTCCCCGCGCAGTGTGCGTCTTGTGCCCTGCCCAACCGAAGGCTCCCCGGTGGTGGACTTCACCCACACCTATCAGGGCCTCCCCGGACAGAGGGACAGACTGGCTTGGCACCCCTCCAGAGCCCACACTGGGAGGGTGGGGAGGGGCCTGCAGGCTCCAAAAAGGAAGATGCACCTTTGAAGAGAGAAACTGGAAGGGCGCTCAGCATCTCCTGAGTCAGAGGAGTTGGCTGGAGAAGGAGGGGACCATGGCTTCCCAGGGTGTGTCTCCTGCCCGGGTAAGCTTGGCTCCAGGAGCCAGAGCCAGCAGAAGAGTCATAAGCAAAGGGGCTCCTTCGAGTACTGACCCCCTGTGGGGGTCATACAGGTACACAGTAGGCATACAGGGCCCACCCTCACCCCACCCACCCGCATACAGCCTCACCCATAGCACCACCGATGGAATGGTCATTCATTTTAGTGGTGGGAGGGGCTCAACTGTGTCCCCCTAAAGTTCAGATATTGAAGTCCAAACCCTTGGTTCCTCAGAATGTGACTGCATTTGGAGACGGTGTTTAAAGAGGTCAAATAACCCATACCCCTTGCCTTAACCCTAAACCTAAAATTAACCCTCTGGAGAGGTCTCTGAACTGCAGGAAAATAGGCACACACCCTTGCCATGTCCCTACCCTGAACCCTAACCGTTATTCTAGCCCTAAACCGAACCCGAATCCTAAATCAGAGGGAAAAAATACGTAGCTAGTAGTTACGTGTAAAAGACAGATATGTATATCTATACACACACACACACACACACACACACACACACACACACGGTTGGAATATTACTCAGCCATGAAAAAGAATGAAATCCTGCCGTTCGCCACAACATGGATGGAACTAGAGAGCATTATGCTAAGCGAAGTAAGTCAGAGAAAAACACCATATGACACAAAAGCGTGGGGGGGAGCCATTGAAATGAGGCTATCGGGGTGGGCCCTAATCCAACATGATTGGCGTCCTTAAAAAAAGAGACCAGGACACCAAAAGACACAGAGGAAAGACCATGTGGGGACACACACAGAAGAAGATAGCCACCTACAAGCCAAGGAGAGAGGCTTCTGACTAACCCTGTCCACACCTTGATCTTGACTTCTAACCTCCAGAGTTCTGAGAAGACAAAACTCTGTTGTTTAAGGCACTGTCTGTGGTATTTGATTATCCCAGCCCTAGACCCTCATGCAAGCAGCACTGAAGTGAACAATGCGGGGCACAGGCCCCTCCCTGTGCAGTGGAGGTCCCCGCAGAGGGGGCTTCAGGCCTCCCCAACTGGAGGTACACATCTCTAGTGTCCATGGCCACCAGGAGGGGTGGCTGTAGACTCCCCAAGACCTGTCCTTCAGAAGAGCGGTCGTTCCTATCACCAAAGGCCACTGAGCAAGGTCTCGGGGGGAGATGAAGGGGAGATTCCCTTCTCTTCACATCCAAGTGCACACCCACTGTGGCCTGAAGAAAGCTCTGGAGGACTGAGTCTTTCTCCCACCCGGAGATCCATCTCCCTCCTTCCTTCCTGTCACCACCACCTCCACATGGCGGTTTAACCAAGCCACGTGCTCTTACAGCTTCATCCTGAACCTGTATATAACACACACCTTCTGGGACCCCAAGGAGCCATTAAAAATGTAGCATTTGTCCCCAAAATTTTCATCTGATCTCCTTCCCCTAATGCAGCAACTGCTAGATTTTGTGACCACGGTTCCCGGGGCTTGGCACTGGGTCCATCACCCGATTCCCGTGAGTCTGGCCGCCAGCTAAGGAGGGGAGTTTCTTACTCAGCTCGTTCCCAGCTTGGATGGCACCTCCCCCAGGGTCCCCACTCCAATTTGCACTTGTGCTAAATCAGGAAGCTGGACCACGGGGACTAAACCTGACAAATGCAAAGCCGTGTGCACAGGCGCTCACCTGGGTCCTGACATCATAGCCACACTGTGTGTTCACAACTTTTTGCTGCAAGAAAAGCGGAAAAACAATTGGTCATTTTTGTTCTCTTGAGAAGCCAGTGGGTAGGAGGCTCTCAAAAAGCCACAACCAAACATCAGCAAACACCCGTACACATTCCATTATAGCTCATGTCTTGCACTCCTGAGGCCAAGTAACTTTCAGGCCAGGACAAAGGTTGACAAACTATGTGAGAAGGGCTAGATCATTAGTTCAGACCTGCCTATGTAGCAGCTACTCAACTCTGCTCTCGTAGCCTAGAAGGCGATGTTGACAATACATAAAGCAATGCATGTGGCTCTCTTTCAATAAAGCTTCATTTATTATGGGCATTTATTACTTAAGTTTCATACGATTTTCACCTGTCACAAAATATCACCCTGCTTTTATTTATTTTCAACCATTTAAAAATGGCTGAAACTCTTCTCGGCTCACAGATCATCTGAAGACTCAGAGCAGGCCGGACCGGGCCCGTGGGTCGCAGTTTGCCAGTGCCTGCGCCAGGGGATTAAAGTTCCACTTGTGCAATGTTTCACAGCCAGAGTGGAGGCCTCTGGCGCTGGCTGTGCAGCCTCAGCCAACCCAGGCCTCTCCTGCGCTGGGGGTGTTGGCCATGCGGTGGCTAGGATACCCTGCCCGCTTGCAGCCCCGGGGCCCAGGACCAGGGGCCACACACCAGTACCAATCAGGGCACCAAGAGCTGGAAATGGCTCAGTTCTGCTCAGGCTCAGTCCAGGCAAACATTAAGCACTCCTTTCATATGTCACTGCATGAGCCCCCATTTCTGGACCCCAAGGACCGGGGCCGTGGACTGGGAATGGAAACAGCAAAGAAGAAAGAAAAGGAGAGGATTCTCCACCACCCCCACATGCAGGTACCGCCACCGCCCCCCTGAGTTTCCGTGCACTGGGTCTTTTCTCCAGAGAACAGGGAAAAGGGTGGCCCAGGGCTCACCAAAGTTGTAGCACTTCATCCAGGCACCCTGAGTGACAGCCCCTCAAGGGAGGGACACCACTGGTTTTCTCCTGCCTCACCCAGAACACTAGCGCCAGGTGGGCCATGCAAAAATGCTCCTGGGATTTTTACCCAGAGGACTTCAGAGCGGAGGTGCACGGATGGAGCGCAGGGCACTAGTCTGGTCTGAAGAGAAAGCACCCAGAGCCCAGAGAGAGTCAGGAACCATGCCATGCGCCCCGCCAGGCGGACTCACCGCGGGGTCTGGCACGCAGCAGGAGAAGGGCACCCCACACTTCTCGCGGCTGTAGCTGGCGCCGCTGCAGTTGAAGTAGACGTTGAGGTCCCAGTCTTCAGGGCCATATGCACCGCAGCACTGGTTCTAGAGTCACAAAAGCAGAGAGCCATCGAAGGCTCTGAGCCAGGGCTGTGGCCACCCACAGGGTACCAGGCATGAGAGGTTAAGTGGGCCTCCACGTACCACACAGAGAAACCAAGGCTCTCCCCACTGACCTCCCGCAAGCACAGAGGTGCTCAGCGTGGGGACCCAAGTAGCCCTCTAAGAAGGAAACTAGGAAACCTTGGCCATGATCTCAACATGCAGGACTGACTCCCTCAGCCTGGGCATGGCACTCAGGTCCAGATCCTCCTCCCCAGGACCTTCCCCCTCCTAACCTCCCCTCAGCCGAAAGCAGACTCCTCACTCTCCTGAGGCCACTCAGTCCCTCTGCCGCAGTTCTCTGGCACACCCCCACCCCCCCACCGAGGGATCCCCTCCTTGTGGGCAGTGAGTGTGTCTTCCTCCCAAGGAAATTTCCAAGCTGGCCCTAGCTCCTTTATGTGCCTCTCTACAAAAAACAGCTGCTGGACATCTACTCCCAAGGACAGAACTGTGAGCGGGATCTGGCCCTGACCTGGGGTCTCTGCCCTTGCCTTCCCACCCTCACCCCCCCCCGCCCCCGCCGGTATCTGGTGTTCTTGCAGACGATCACCACTCATCTAAAAAACCGTAAAACCAAACGTACAGAAAAATGCACGGTGAGGTCAACGGCATCCCAAACCAAGAACAGATACCCTTTTTGCACGTGTCCTTATTGCTGGTGTGGGTGTGGCCGTGATCACAGCAAACACACCACCAGGAATTTCGGCCGTCTTTGCGTCTATGATAAAATCCTAGCTCCCCGACCCTTTCAGCTGCGTTAATGATCACGGACTATTTCACCAGGAGGAAGCTCTGTAAGGTACAGAATACCTCTGGGTAATGGATTTTCAAGAGGAGAGGACAGCTGCGGCGAACACCGCAAAGCCTTCCAGGCCAGAGCAGGACTAGAGCGCCCCGCACACGGGACAGACACCTGTACGCCTGCGGCGACGTGTCAACATCAGAACCGCGACGTGAGGGACAGACAGTAGGAAATGGCTGGGATGTGACCTTGCAGACAAACGCAGGTCACTATTACGACACAGGAAGGGTCTCTGGTCACATCCCTGGGTTTTGCCAGATCCCAGGACACATGACATAGGGGGTAAACAGGTTTCAGTTAACATGCGCGTAGACTATGGTTATTTTTTAATGATTGCTGGATTATTCTCTCCTTGGAACCAAAACGTTCCATATGAAGTCCCCAAGGAAGCGAGGCTTGCTGGCAGGGCACAGACAGATCACAGGCCGGTCGGTGGGGAGTGGGCTCCTTGCAGGGCGGGGATGGCTGTGGTCCAAGCCTCCAGGTGTGGCTGCACACAAGGGACTGAATGCCAGACGGAGTAAAGGCCAAGGCCTGGGACAGCTCAGACACCCCCCTGGGGACATATTCCAGGGAGGTTACATTCCTCTCCATGTGGGGAAGCTTCCTCCAGGCAGCTCTGGCCTCTCAAACAGGAAGGGGAAAAGGTCCCCGGGAGGAAAGGGACAGGAATAGCCTCAGACGGTGAGTCATGGGCCGGAGGGGGAGAGAAGGGGGAGGCGCTCCACCCCTCAGTACCCACAGTGCCTAGGGACCTGTGGCCGCCTGCGTGGCCAGGGCCGGAGAGATCTGGCCCCTGGGGAAGTGGGGGTAGCCACAGGAGCAGCTGGACTTGCCCGCCTGGTGCAAACGGGCAAGAGCACACCGTAAACATGCCTGCACCGCCGGACAACCACGAGCTGACAAAGCTAAACTGCCCAGGGGCGGGAGCGACCCCTCCCAGGGCCTCCCTGCACTCCCCTCCCAACCCCCCCCAACCTAGCCACAGCCCCAACAGCAGACACAGCCGGGGAAGCCCCTGCTCTACTGGGGAGGCCGGCAAGGAGGTGCTTACAGCTTTCTGGAGGGAGTCGATGAGGTTCTGCAGGTCAATGTCGTCCCGGTAGGATCTGATGTTGCTCTCGAAGAACTCCCGGAACCGGTCCCTCACCCAGTCCTGGAATAGGAAGGCCAGCACAGCCACGGCCAGCTCCAGGAAGAAGATGAGCACGATGGTGCCGCAGAACTGCATGGGGGCGAGGGTGGGGCAGTTGTCACACCTCCAGCCTCCGGGCCAGGTGGGAACCCTCGTCGGACCCAGGACCACTGCCTGCCACCGCGAGAGCAGCACTGGAGCCCAGGAATCCCATGTGGCTGGCTGGCAACCCCGCCCTGCCTGTAAATGGAGACAGGCATCCCTACCCACATCCCCGCAGCACGGCTCAGTCAGGCGGCTCAGAGTCAGGCGAGGAAAAGGACGAGAAAGCTCCAAGCCATGGTGTCACCCGCTTCCTGGGAAGGAGGCTCCCTCCCCCCAGCAGGAAACCCCATCCCGGAAATGAGTGGCTAACCTACTCCAACAGGCTAGCAGCTCCGTTAGGGCACAGCCTGTGCCCCAGACACAGTACCTGACCCCTCTCCTCACACACGCAACCATCCAAGTTGCTAGAAATCTCATCTGTCACCCACACTGCAGGGACAAGGACACTGAGGCTCACGTGGGACTGTGGCTTGCTTGAGAGCACACCGCTCACGCAGGACACCTGCGTTCCCTGGCAGACTCTTCACAACTCTGGAGCTGCCAATGTCAAGACCTTTCCAGAAGCACAGCACCTCTGGCCGCGACTGTGGTGGCATCCTTGGAGGGTCCACCGCAGCCACCAGCCCCTCCCATCAGGCAGACCTCCGGCCTGTGGCGCGAGCACTCCCCCAGTCACGGTCATCACTGGTCACACTGCGCTCATGCCACAGTGGGCAAAGTTCTCAGAATAAGACAGAAGGGAGCCCTCCCCGCCAACCCCCTCGTGTGTGCACACATGCATATGCTGAAGGCCCTCCAAAACGCAGTCTCCATTCACACGGAAGGTACTAAATATATTTTTAATAGAAAACAAAATTAGGGGGAAAAAAACAAACACGTGTTCTGCTTTTTAAATTAAGCCCAAGGAAGAGACGCTTGATCTAATATTTTCAACAAATAATCTATTGCAAAACACGATTATGTGTTTTCCCCACCAGGTGCTATTTAATTTTAACTGAACGAATTTCAGCATGAATTTGTATCTAAATATAAAACCAAATTCTTAGGAACTCGCAGTTCTACCAGGAAATGAAGGACTCTGCATTGCACATCCCGACAGATTCACACCCCGTGGAGGAGGGAGACAATTTCTTAACTTTACTGGCAACATCTTTTGATCTTACCCAAGAAGGGCAAAGGTGAGCAGCCAACAAACAACTCCTTGGGAACTTCTGAGGGAAGTAAAAAGTGAGGGAGGGGGAGAGGAGCCCACCGCTTGGCCGTCTCTTCCCTCTGGGAGCCGGAAACCAGAGTGGCTCAACTTCACCAGGTACAAGGAGCCGGCTCACCTGAGCGCTCCCTGAAATCTTACCATTAGGTGGACAGCAGGGGCCCGAAGGCTGCCTCCTGCCCACACTGCTGGGCCCTCTCTGATCAGATACAGTGTAAGCCTGCCTGGCAGAGCCCGCGCCCCCGCACCCCTGCCCTCTCCCACCCCTGCAACCAGGGCCACTCACAAACTTGAGCAGGCAGATGTTCTCCCGCAGGGCCCCCACGCAGCCAGCGAATCCCAGTGTGAACATCACCACGCCCACCATCAGGACCAGCACCACAGGGTCGATTCCGTGCAGCCGGGTCACCTTGGTGAGGTCGGACAGCACCCCCTGGAAGAGGCAGAGAAAAGAGGGCAACATCAGCCTCGGGCAGTCAGGGGGGCGGGGGTGGGGGGGGGAGCTGGGTTGTGTCCAGAGCTAAAATGAGGACAGGGACCTGTCTTCTAAGGCTCAGTCCTCCTACTAAAAGCCAGACCAGAGCACAGAGATCACAGACCCCTGCCCCGAGATCCCTGCCCACCTCGGCTCCCAGGACCCTCACATGGAGCATTCTGGGGCTCCACTTTGGCTATGAGTTCTGACCTGCCGGACCCCATGCTTCTTTTGTAGCCAGCAGGGTGCCTATGCCAGACCTGGAGTGGGGAAGGGGTGCCAGGGGAACCCTATGGCTTTTGGTCAAGGCACCTTAGGGCCTCACCCTGGCCATTTGGCAGTCTACTCTGCACTCAACTCATGGAGAAGCCCACTGTTCTGAGGTGAAAACAGCTTCAGCATGAACACTCTTGTGGAAAACACCCACTGAAGGCCCACGAAGGCAACTCTGTCCGTAAAAACCTTTGGTGACGACGAGAGGTTCCTACATGTGCACTGTCCAAAATGGCAACCACCGGTCACCCGTGCCACTGAACACCTGAGTGGAACTGAGGAACTGAATTTTCATTCGTGTTTCATTCTAACAAGTTTAAATACACACAGCACGTGTGGCTAGTGTGACCCACAACGGACAGAGCAGTTAAAGAGCAGGCGTAGCCAGGCCTCTCTGCTGGGGGTTCAGCCAGGGGAGCTGCTGCTGTGCAGGCAGTGGCCACACGGTGGCACTAGGAGTCACAGTTTGCGCGGGCTTGCAGGGTTTGTCAGTAGGGCAAAGTGACATTGCCCCTCAGCTCCTGCCCTTCAGGGGTTCACAGGCCACCCTGAAGATGCCCAAAACCAAAGGCAGGCCGTATTCAGTTCCTAAGGCCATGGCAAGAAAGCCCAGAGATCTCACCGCCCATGCCTCCTTCTCCAGAAAGCAAAGGAAGGGTCCACTGAAGGAACAGAGAGGGTCCTGGGCATGAGCCTCAAGACGGTGCTCTAGTTCCCAATCAGGAGCCTGGTCCAGTCCACCTGGCTCCTTCCCTCTCCCCTCTTCCACCCTCCCTGTACTGAGGGTCCTCTCCAGCTCTCTCGCTACCTCCCCAGCACGCACACCCCCGCAGAGCATAAAGTGGTACGGCAGCTCACAGGTCTCAGCCCCTCTTAGAGTTTCAACTGCCCTGTCCTTCCAGACAGTAAGAGCCCACTCTCCCCACCTCACCCCCCTTGCACAGGCAGGGTGAGGAGGTTCACAGGTATGTAAAGACCTGCCTCTGCTGCCCCACAGGGTGCCCAGGGGGCGTGTGAACACAGCCCTGCTCCTTGATCTCAGGGCAAGAACTTCAGGAATAAACACCACTGTGTTCAAGGACCTGCTGGCTCCCAGAGGCACAGACAAGAGCAGAAGGTGGCCCCGGCCCGGCCCTGGACACAGCTGCAGACAAGCCCCCGGGCTGTGTAAGGCTCCTGGCAACAGGAGAGAGGGGTCCCCGCACACATGGAGCTCAAATACCCAACCAGCCCAGCCCTGGCCTCGAGCAGCGACCCCCACCATGGGGAAGGAGAGCCAGACGCAGGACCCCAGGAGTTTCCGTCACAAGCTCAGGAACGATCTCCGAGGGCTGGCTCTGTGATGACTGATAGCTACAGACCATAACCATGTGCAAGAAACGTTTGTCGGGGAGGTGTCTGGAGGAAGGAACAATTTAAGCTGAACCAACCTGGTCTGGGCTACCTGACGCTCAGGGTCGCCACCACAGGGACGCTTACCTTTTCGCTCCATGCCCACAGTCCGACTCCAAGGAAAACAACTCCAGCCAACTGGGGGGAGGAGGGAAAGGAGGGAGAGAGGGAGAGAGGGAGAGAGTTAGTCAGCTCCCAAAGGAGCCCCATGAATGTGCTTCTTAGAGGAACGTCCACACTGCTAGTCAAGGGATGTTCCCGGCTCCTATCCAGGCAGGCAGAACAGGGGCAAGACAAGCCGTCTGTCCCTGCAGGGGACAGGAACTCCACTCCAGAGCAAAGGGGCGGCAAGGCTTTTGGGATGACCCACACCTACCTTCCCTGGACATTTAGACAAACCTGAACCCTGTGGTCCCCGTGCTCCAGAGAGCAGAGGTGAAGATCTCAGAGCAGAGTCTGCCTGCAAAGACTATGCGTAGACATTGGGTCCTGCCCTGTCTCCTCCACATGCTGAAAGCCCCCCAGCTCATTTCAACACACAATCTGGGGTATAAGATGACGTTGCCCTCTGCGACAGCCCCCCAGATGCGTTCACAGGCTTCCGGAGCAGGGGAGCCTCTCTCCGTAGGACTGGGCACCGCTGTGGGGGACGCAGAGCCAGGGGCACCTACGCTCTGCACGGGGCACATGTGTTCCCTGTGTTATTAATTCCTGGGTTATTAGTTCCTGAATTAAAATAGGCCTATGTCATATAATGCATTCCCCCCAGAAAAAGCCCCCCCCCACCCATGCAACACCACACAGGTTCCTAAACCAGAGATTTTCCATATGAAACAAAACACTTGGTCTCCGAAAATGTAGCTAATTTTTCTGCAGAAGTATTTTACACCACGCCGGCATCGTCAGTACCTCGCGATCTAAACAGCAGGGCTAGGTCTGTCTAGGACTCCCCTGTATTCTCACCCATTAAGCCATTCCTGCCTCCTTGGTTGCCGGCGGGCCCCAGGGGGCTGGAGAGGGAAGCAGAGGCCCTTTAAAGAAGGCCCCGGGAGGTCTCAACCTCTTTGGAATCACAGACCACCTTCAGAAAATGCTTCCGTGCCCAATATTCTGGATGGAATTTCCAAGAGTTCACAGACCCCTCGCTGCTGGTTCCCACGGCAGTCTGTGGGCCCTGTGTGCGGATGCCCTGCCTGGCCCTGATCTGTCTGCTTTACAAAGCAGAACACAGGCCCCAAGAGGGCCGAGATGGAAACACCACTCCGTGGAGAAGGGCCAAGACCCGAGTGCTGTGCGAGTACATCCTAAGGGCAGCTCCAGGGCCTGCAGGCAAAGCCCTACCTCCCAGCTGGGGCTCACAGTCCAGGGAGTGACACACAGTCCCCTGTGCTCCATGCTGGGTTTTCTACCTTTCCGTCTTCCTGCTGAATCAACTAGTTGCTGGAGGCCTTTGTTTTTCTCAATGGGGGTGCGTAACCACTTCCTTTCTCTCCCCAAGTGTCTTATGCCCCAAGGGGACCCATCACTGCCCACTGAATCCTGTAGGCTTCCCTCCCGCCATTCCTCAAGGCCCCCAGTGACTTACCCTCCTGCCAAAGGTGGAGGTCAAGTCTTCTGTTTTTTTTTTTTTCCTTTATTTGACCTGACCAGACGCAGCTGGTTGTTCCCTCCTGCCTTAAGGCGCTTGGCTTGGGGGCACGATTCCTCAGCCTCTCCTGCTGGCTCCTCCTCCTACGAGGACCTCAGTCAGGGATTCCTTGCCCTTCCCTCTGTCCTCTAGATGAGGCCCTAATTCACACGGCCTGAAACACCGTCTCTACACAGCTGACCCGCAAATCCCAATCTCCAGCCATAGCTGCTTCCAGATCAAATACCCTACGTCCACATATGACAGGTGACAACATTTCAGTCCTAACACGCCCCACAATGGAGCCTTGCTCTCCCAGCCCCAGCCAACTCTTCCCCTTCTCATTAAATGGTCCCATGCCACCTACTCCGTTGTTTAGATAGGAAGACCTAAACCTCATGCTTGATGCCTCTTTCTCCCTGACTCCCATTCACCCTTCAATCCGTAGTGCACCTGACTGGCTTTCTCCCTGACTCTCTGCTCCACCTGCCCATGCTCCACCCCTGCAGGTCTGGATCCTCCAGGGGCCTCCTCACAGGTCCCTAAGCAACTAGAGGAATCATTTAAAAATATAGATCAGGCAACTCCCCTCCTCAAAACTCTCCAAGTTACCTCCTTTCATACTTAGAATAAAATTCAGACTCCTTGCCGTGACCCCCAAGGGCCTCGGCAGCCAGACTTTGGCCCATACGACTACTCTCCGGGCCACCCTGGCATTGTTACTGTTTCTGGAACCTGCCAAATTCATCCCTTCCCTTAGCCTAGAATGTTCCTCCATGTCCCTTTCGGGCTTGCTCCCTCACTTCACTCAGGTCTCCTCAATTTGCCCTCGAGAGACACCTCCCTCCCCCATCCTTGGTGGACAGCCCCCATCCTTCAGTCCTGACCTCCTTTCCTGCTGGACATTCTTCGTGGCACTTCCCATAGACCACATGGGCTGTACGTCTGTCTACTATGTCTCTCCCGCTTAAGCCCAGAGATGCTTTCTGTTTTGCTCAGGGTCGTATCCCAAGAACTTGGAGAAGGACTTGGCTCTTTTAGGTACAGACTGGGCACAAGTGAGGGAGTCACCAGGGCTCCAGGACCAGTGCCGTTCTTGCCCATGGTCTCCAGCCCTCCTCCAAGAAGTGCTCCCAGGTCTCATTCCCTCCAAATGTACTCAGAGCAAATGAGGGTCAAGCCAAAGCCCAGCCTGGCCCAAGTCCATGATCAATCCCTTCGGAGGCATTAGGATCCGGACAGGGCCTGGAGGCTTGTCCTTCCCTGCGCCCCTGCCTAACCACTTTCCATGACAGCCTACCTACTACCTGGCCCCACGGGGGACAGTGAGAGGATCCTGCCCTGGAAGAGCCCGGGCTGAGACGCTGCCGGCTCCCTTGCCCTGAGGCTCAGGTTCCCTTCTCTCACAATGACCAGTCGCTAAGAAAAGGGCTCATGGTTTGTTCCACTCTGTTTTAAAGAAAGAACTAAAGTTAACTTGCACCAGAAAGACAGGAACCGGCGGGGCGGTGGGGTCACGTGTTAGATCACAGGCTCCGTGAACACAGGCCCCAGGCAGGAACTCTGGGGGCCAAAAGTCATTCTAGAGACGAGGAGACTGAGGAAGGACCAGACAGGGGAAGTGGCCTGTCTGGGAGCTCACCTGACAGCCCCGTGAAAGAGCCGGGCCAGGACACTTGCCAGCTTCACCCAGCTTCCAACGGGGCCTCTTCCCTGGGTCTCGCTGGGGCAGACGGCCCGTGGGGCAGGGCTGCTGTCCCCGGCTGCCAACCATCTGGGGGGACAGTTCAGCTGGGCGCTTTCCAGACTACGAGTACCCTTCTTTGTCTCTCTTTTATGACCCGATCAAATTCCCTCCCGAAGGATGGGGCCTAATTCCTGCTAAGCCCAAAGGGAGGCCGGCCTCGGACCATGAGGTATACACACCGCTGCGGTCGTCATGCCGAGTAGGACCGCTCTTTCCTGTGTTACACGCTTCATACACTTAAAGGGCCCCTTCCACACCGCATAGCACTCGGACAATTACCCCCATTTTTCAAACAGGAAAGCTCAGAGGCAGAGCGATTCGGTTCTTTGCCCAAAGACACACAGCTGGCTGGCGGCAGAGTCAGAACCGAACCTGGGCGTCTCTGACGCTCCTGCCAACACGTTATCCCCCCGCCCACAGGGTGGCCACCCAGGCCAGAAGGGGCAAGCAGCAGCCGAGCCCTCCACCTGGACACAGGGGCCCGAGGGCACGGGAGTTCCGCGGAAGGGGCTCTGGGCTGTGCGACGCGGAAGCCAACCACCTGTCTCCTCAAGGAGTGAGGATCATTCTATGCCCCAACTAGAGCGGGTGGCCAGGGAGCAGGGCCTCTCTGGGCGTCGCTGTAAATACTCCTGACCTCTCCACCCTAGGCAAAGGGCCCACCTACGGAAGAAGGGGAGGGGACCTCTTGGAGCACTCAGGCGGGAAGCCATCCAGAATCCACTCACAACGTGAGCAAGCCCAGGGCACCTCACGCACGCACGTTCAAGTGACAGTGTAGGTGTAGACAGCTGGCCAGGCCCTGCTGGACAGGAGGAGGGTTCCGACACCAAGAAACTCAAAAGCAGCCACTGATCACCCACAACTGAGTGGCCTCAGCCTCTCGCAAGACTGCATTTCGCTGTGTGTCGACATACTTGGGCAACTCTTGCGGGTCCCAGAGGCCTCTGTGCAGTGAGCTCCAGGCCAACCACCAGAACCAGGCTCTGCCCTACTTGGCTTCTGGTTCTCGCAAATCCTCTGGCTGTCAAAGGCTGACATTCACAGGGACGCCTGTGGGAGTCCCAGAGAAAAATCCAGAAGGAAAGCCGAGAGGGAGCCAGACTTGAAGAAGACCAGACCTGTGCTCAACAAATGGCACAGGTCAGCTGGTCCCAGTTTTAGTCTCCACTCTGCAACTTCCGGGAGACAAAGACTTCACGCCAAGCCCAGGAGCTCCTCTGTGCCAGTGACTTCCTCTGCAAAATGGGGATGACCCCTCCTGGGTCACAGGAGGGTTCTAAGGGCCACCCATGACGTGCTTACCCCAGGATGTACAGCCAATCCAACTGAGCCTGGCCCTCCTGTGGGGGAAGGGAGCAGAGCAGAGGCATTGAGGGGCCTTCCAGATGCCACCAGCATTTGCCAGACTGAAGACTCTCTCTCTGTGCCCAACCCCCAATAACTCCCAGCTCAAGACTCTGTCCTGAGACAAAGTCCTCCTTTCCAGAGGCATCTGTTTTATTGGGTCTCAGGAGACAACGGTGAATTAAGAGTTTAGGGAAACAGGATCTCTGGAGGCTTTAAATTTGAAGCAATATAAGAATGATGGAAAGAAAAAGGGACAGAGAGTGGAAGAAGCTATAAGAGAATTTAAGCTCTGTTTCTAATTCACCCTGTGGCTTTGAGCAAGCCATCCCTCTCATGGACCTCAGTTTGCCCATCTGTAAAACTGAGGAGTTGGGAGACCGATAGTCTCCAAAAGCCCGTACACCTCCCGCTGCC